GCTCTTGGCACCCGAAACCCTCCCTTTGTTTATACCTTTTCCAAGGCTGGGACAATAAGTGCGAGGCCATCCAGAGGTTACTGTGACACAGCAGAAGGAAAAGCCTTTCCCTTTGTTTGTGGATCATTCCAAAGGTTGTTGGGTTTCTTTTTATCTCCCAACAAATATCCCTAAATCCGGCCGGAGCTCCCCGTGGGCAGTAACAGGAGGAAACGTTGCCCCAGCTCGTGCTCAGCCTCTTCAGGGCATCAGATTATTCCAAGGAATGTGTGTCCTGCAAGATTTTTGGGGCTTTTTAATTCCTTGGAAGCGGGGCTTGGATCCCCCTGGGTGTTTGCAGGGTGATTTTCAGGTGCCAAAATTGAGTCTTGGACGCTTTCCATGCGAAAAAACATGGGATTTTTTTTAACTCTGCGCTTGGGTTTCGTGCAGTTTTTGAGTTCCTGAAATGGTTGGTGTCCACCAGGAATGGAAGAGGTTTAAATAAAGTCGAGATTTTGGAGGAGGAGGAGGTTTGGGGAGGGTGAGAGGCGCTGGCCAGGCTCCCAGACAGACCTGACGTGAGTGGGAATGTTAAATCCTCCTCTTTTAACTGTGGAATCACAGACTGGTTGGCTTGGCAGGACCTTAGAGTCCCTCATCCACCCCCTGCCACGGGCAGGGACACCTTCCACCAGCCCAGGTTGCTCCAAGCTGGCTTTGGACACTTCCAGGGATCCAGGGGCAGCCACAGCTTCTCTGGGAATTCATTTCAGGGCCTCCCCACCCTCCCAGCCAGGAATTCCTTCCCAATATCCCATCTAACCTTTCCTGGATGCACATTTTTGAGGGGGGGCTCACCTGAAAGTCCCCCAGAAATCCTTGGCTCCTCCACCACCACCAGCTGGAGCCCAACACTCCCATGGCTTTGGCATTGAACACCTGCCTTAACCCACAGATGCCAACGGGAATCATGAACATCCCAGGGGGAAGTTTGGTGGTTTATCCATCCATGGACTTGCTGAAGGAGTTGGGAATTCATGGCTCTGTCAGATCTGGAGACAGAAATCCAATGTCCAAATCTGAGTGG